TGGGGGGATGTGTTCTGGGGGATGTGTTCTGGGGGATGTGTTCTGGGGGGTGTCTGTGAGCCCAAAGTGTAAAATGAGGGACCCACTATTCTCAGGCCTCACTCTCGCCTCCCATCTGTGCCCCTGACTCCCTGGACACGCTGACTGACATTATTCCTCCGTGAAATTCCGGCCTCGGTCTGATTATTTCCCAATGTTTCCGTGATGAGTGGTTCCAGGTGCCACGTGTTAGGTGAGTGGATAAGCCAACTGTACTGCACCCAGACAATGGGAGATGATTCAGAGCTAAAAAGAAATGAGCTATCAAGCCATGAAAAGACATGGAGGCCACCTCAATGCGTGTTACTCAGGGACAGAAGCCGATCCGAAAAGGCCGCGTAATGTATGATCTCATTCTATAGGACATTCTGGAAAAGGCAAAGCCATGGAGACAGTGAAAAGACCCGGGGTTGCCTGGCGCTGGGGGAGGGATGAGCAGGTGGGGCAGAGAGAACGTTTAGGGCAGTGAAATTACTGGGTACGACACTTCAAAAATGGAGACACGTCGTTATACATTTGTCCAAACCCACTGCCCAAATGTAAATACATTACACACTTGTCCACAGTATCGAGAGCAAACCCGACTGTGATCTCAGGACTGCAGTTAATAATGACGTATGGGCATCATCAATTATAATGCACGCACCCCCCTAACGCAGGACGTTACAGACCGGGACAACTCTGAGGGGGATGGGACCCGGTACTCCCTGCGCGATTTCTGTACACCTAACACTGCTCCAAAAAATAAAGTCTACCAGTGTTCAGAAGGCAACCAGAATTAAACTACTTCCAAAATTAAAGTAAAACTGACACTGACATGGTTGAAAGTGAGGGAGACAGTCCGTCTTGACTTGTGGATAACGTTTCCAAACATCTGCGTTCAAGGGCTAACTGGGAGAGGATGGGCGCACCAGAGAGCCCGCCCAGCCGGTCGCAAGCAGTGTGTTCTTTCTCAGGATGGTGACCTGTCTCAGCTTTACTGAGGTAGCACAGACAAATAAAGAGTGTGTGTATTTAAGGTGTACAAGTGTGTATATTTATGTTGTTCCAACGTACAAGTGCATGTGAAAGAAAGGCTGCAATCAAGCTGATGAGCGTCTCCAGCACCTCGGCCCGATTTTCCTGCTTCCTGTGGTGGTGAGAACACTTCGCCTGCCCGCTTAGCCGCTCTCAGGTGACTGCGGCACCTCGATGGCTCTCCCGTTCCCCCCCGATAGTGTAAAGCTCACAGAAAGCACAGCAGTGGACGCGGGAAGTGAGCCAACGTGGGAAGAAAGCGCCACACGTTGCTCGTTCTCCATGAGCGGTGGGTGGTCTCCGTGTCCGGAGCCGTGCGACCCGAGGAAAATTCCCTCCTTCCCCGGGGAGGACGGATTCAAAGCGCATCGCATGTGTGTCCTGCTCGAGTACAGACCACGCACGTCACGTCCATCTACATTGTTTTATGTGAATAACTGATATGAAAACTAGATAATAGCACAACCACATTGAGGGGGACCTAGAAATTATACACGCACAACCCTCCGACCCAGCAGGAAACGGTCCTCGAGGTGCTCACGTGCTTGGCGCACGTGTGTGACAAGTGGTGGCAGAACTAACTGTCCCCGGGAGGAGACTGGGACGGAGGGCGCGGCCACACGCAGGGACTCAAGTCCCGATTCCAGGCTGCGTGCCGGCTGGATGGCAGCCACAGGGAAATGGCCTTCACATGCAAACAATATGTGCTTGTTTATGCAAAATCTCTCCTGAAGGAGAAGCAAGAAACTCATATTAGTTGCACCTGAAAAACGAGGCAAGGCTGGTGCACAGGCATGTGTGTATGTGTACATACATGGTGCGTCTACATGAGAGTGTGTGCATGTGTGTGTGTATTTGATATGTGTGCACATGAGAGTGTGTATATGTGGTGTGTCTATGTGAGAGTGTGTGTGAATGCATGTATGTTTGTATAGTGGTGTGCATATATGACAGTGTGTGTGGTGTGTGAGTTGGTGTATGAGTGTGTGTGTGTGAGCAGAGTCGGGGGATGAAATCTCTCACTGCATACCCTTTGGGACTTCCTGAATTCTGACCCACTTGAATGTATTAACTCTGCAGGTATTTAAGTACATACAACTCACATGTTAAAGGAGAGCGAGGAAGAGACTGTCCAGGTAAAATGAGTCTGTCTCGCACATGCCCATGGGAAATATCAAAAGCCATTCTACCCGGAATCTGCACCACCCTCCACTCAGCCTCACAAACGCCCCACTTTCCGTAAGAAACGGTGACAAACACCATCGCTAACACAGAGGCAGGCACTCTGGCCCAAGTCTGAAGTGTGCGTGAGCCACTTGCCGACCGGGAGCTCCTGGCAGAGAAAAGGCCTTCGCCTGCAGACACAGGTGACCATGCGGCGGCTGAGGCCAGCCCGGGGCCCAGGCATGTGTGTGTATGTGTACATACATGGTGTGTCTACATGGAAGCGAGGACGAGCAGGAAGGGAAGCTTGTTGAGGGGGCCACAGGGGCAGGAGGACGACCACGATACGCAGTCTTTCCCTCCCGGCGTGCACTGCACGAAGCGTTCCCAGCTCAGAGGACCAGCCTTTACTCGGGGTTGGGCACCAGTGACGTCAGCTCAGAGGACCAGCCTTTACTCGGGGTTGGGCACCAGTGACGTTAGCCCCACTCCGGTACCCAAGCCTCACTCGCCCTCTCACAGCCACAAAAACTCAGTGTGCGTTCAACTTCACATTGTACACGGCTGCTCATTGTTACTGCCGTGTGGGACATCCGTGGCAGATGGGAGTGGGCATGTCCTGTCATGGGGACTGGCCCTGCCATGTCCCTCCCAACGCTGTGTGATGCAGAGTGAGGAGCACACCCCTCTGAGCCTGTCTCCTCATCTGAAAATCGGGGTTAACCCAAGGCTCCAGGTAGGGACTCATGATGTAATGGACATGGCCTGCACCATCATGCCCTGGCCACGGTGGACCCGGGACACGGTGGACTCCGGACACGGTGGACCCGGGACACGGTGGACCCCGGCGCCCAGCCCCTGGCCACGTGCAGCTTCCCACTCACCGCACTGGTTCTCGTCCTCCCCGCTGGGACAGTGCAGGATCCCGTCACACCAGAGAGAGGCGCTGACACAGGTCCCCGAGGAGCCACACTCCATCCCCGACACCGTGCACCTGTTCTCCGCTTGCAGAGAGATGGGAGGGAGACACCCGTCAGGCTCAGGAACCAAGGAAGCTGCCCTGCGCCCACCACAGCATGTCATCCGCCCCCCGCAACAAAAGGGAAGCACCCGTCCCCCTTCATTTAAGGAGGGGCTGTGTCCCAGCTGCAACATAGCAAAGAAAATGGGGCTGCAGCCCGGCCGTATAGCTCAGTAGGTGAGAGTCGTCCCAATAAGCCAAGGCTGTAGGTTCGATCCCCAGTCAGGGCACATACAGGAAGCAGCCAGTGAAGGCATCAATGAGTGGAACAACAAACTGATATTTCTTTTTCTCTCTCAAATCAATGGATAAAAATTTTTTAAATTTTTAAAAAAAGTCCTTAAAAAAAGAAAAGGAAACCAGGCTGCAGGCCAGCAAGGCAGAGCCCCTAGTCACGCTCCTCTCAGGGCCAGAGGAATGGCTCCCGGCCTTGGATTCGGGCAGGCTCCACGCCCTCTCTGCCCCACAGGCGACTCCCATGGGCCCTGGCTGCTGGGAAAGGCCTGGCGGCAGGAGGAGGGCAGGCTGGCCTGCAGCCACCACCGTGTCACAGGGCACCAGGTGGGGCCCCAAGGCGGGGAGCCTGCGCTCAGAGTGCCAGGCGGCACCTAGTGCCTCAAACCACTGGGTAAACGTGGAATGTCAACACCTCGGAAACGGCACGGGCTGTGACCACCCTCAGATTAGGAGGAAGCACGCAACCCAGGCAAGGAGGCTGCCTGCTTCCAAGAGTGGTTATTCGTGCACCGTCTCGGCTAAACGGAAGCAAAGAGAAGCAGCTTGCTATGTAAGAGGGAAACTCAGGAAGGGCTGAGGGAGGGAGCTCCAGCCCAGAGAGCAGGGCCACGAATGCTCAGCACCCAGCGTCAGCACCACCCTCAGATTAGGAGGAAGCACGCAACCCAGGCAAGGAGGCTGCCTGCTTCCAAGAGTGGTTATTCGTGCACCGTCTCGGCTAAACGGAAGCAAAGAGAAGCAGCTTGCTATGTAAGAGGGAAACTCAGGAAGGGCTGAGGGAGGGAGCTCCAGCCCAGAGAGCAGGGCCACGAATGCTCAGCACCCAGCGTCAGCAGCCCAACCCCAGCACCCAGCACCAACACCAGCCCCAGCACCCAGTGCCAGCCCCCAGCACCTAGGGCCAGCCCCAGCTCCCAGCGCCAGCCCCCAGCACCAATACCAGCCCCACCACCAGCCCCAGCCATGCACCCAGTGCCAGCCCAAGCACCCAGCACCAACACCAGCCCCAGCACCCAGCGCCCAGCCCCAGCGCCAGCCGAGCACCCAGCGCCTGGCCTCAATAGCGCCCTCTCCGGCGTCAGGGGCTGCTCCCCACTTACTGAACTTCCAGAGCAGGAGAGCGGCCGCCACTGCCCCGGCGAGCACGGCCACCAGGGCCACGGTGATGCACAGCACTTTCTTCGTCTCTGAGAAAAGGAAACACGCGCACAGTTCATGGCGGAGGCTTTTGAAGTCACGCTCTCAGACTTGACCCATTACCTGTATCATTTCGCATATCGAGAAATAATTCCTCATGCACTTAAAAATGTGACTTTTAAACGCATATCCTGGGAGGTCTTCATTGTTCCATAGCACTAAACGTTGTGCTAGAGCAGAAAGCCATGATGCGAAGCAGGGGTGGGGAACGTCTGCCCATGGGCCGTATAAGACCCTCGAAATCATTTGGTCTGGCCCTGCCAAGGCACTAGGGGTGAGTTAATTAAGTGATTGACAAAATACAGCAGGCTATTTTTTTTAATGCATGGATCTTTTTTATTAAATATATTTTTATTGATTTCAGAGAGGAGTTGAGAGAGAGAAGCATCAAAGGACTAGAAATTCAATAAACCTAGGAGCTTTTTTCACAGGAGGAGGCAGCCGATCAATGATTCTCTCTCATCACTGATGTTTCTGCCTCTCTGAAATCAATAAAACATATTTAAAAAACAAAAGACTTTGGAAAAGGAAACCAATGTTCTCTAGTCAAAACGAACTGACGTGCCATGGTGGGTCGGAGCGTAAGCCACAAGTTGGGTGGACAGGGCCACACGCCCACCCCCACCCCCAATTCCTACAGGGAGCTTTCGTTGGAGGAAGGCGGAGAGGTGGAGGGGAGGGTGAGAGGACACATTTAAACAGACCCTCCGACCCCCTTAGTTTATCCAGGAGGACAGTGGGCTGGGGAGGGAGCGGCGTGGGGAGACCTGGTGCACCCAGAGGTACACATCAGTGCTTCTGGAAGTCAGTCAGGCAAGTCCAGCTCTGGAGCGGAGAGACCAGACTAGGGCTCAAAGCCACGCCTCTTGCCTTTTGTTTTGTTAACACATTCTGCGAATTCCACAGTCTGCTCTCAAACCTGTGAACTGTGACAGGCTTAGGCTCACCTGGGGAGCCTGGTAACCACCGGAGATCCTGATGCAGATGGGGAGAGGGAGGCCTGACTGTGCAGCTTTAACAGGCTCCCAGGTGAGGTCAAGGGCACCGGGTCCGGGAGCGCCAAGTGCCACCCTGCCACCTTAGCTGACAGCGATTATGTCTTGGGCAGGCAGAGCGGCGTGAAAGAGGCCGCTCTCTCTGGGGAAATTCCAAATAGCCAGTCCTACCCATTGGCCAAGGATAATCTTTTCCCTTGGGCGACTTCCATGTGTGTCACTTTATCTAAGAAAAACACAGCTTGCCTGGCGAGTTAGGGAATATTAAATCGGGGAGGCTTGACCTCTCAGTGTGTGGCGGGCGATCTGCCCAGCTCTCGCGAGGAGCATGCGGGCAGCGGCTCCCCTGCTGTTACCTTTGCTGGACAAGTGCTTTGGAATCAGTGTTGGCTCCGTCCAGAGTGCTGGTTTGCCACTGTATCTGTTGTTGAGTTTAATCATAACTTACTGTCCCTTTACCTTCATCGTCATCCACTTAGTCTATTGTTGATTCAGCCCTGCTGTTTCTGGTGTCAACGGTTCCCACCACAGGCTTGTTGACCCTCATTCTCCAAAACCTAAACTGTCAGATGTGTACACATTGTGCTTCAACAGGAAATACCACCAATGGCGATGGCTGTTGCTAAAGCAGCGGTTCTCAACCTGTGGGTCGCGACCCCTTTGGGGGTCGAACGACCCTTTCACAGGGGTCGCCTAAGACCATCAGAAAACACATATATAATTACATATTGTTTTTGTGATTAATCACTATGCTTTAATTATGTTCAATCTGTAACAATGAAAATACACCCTGCATATCAGATATTTACATGACGATTCATAACAGTAGCAAAATTACAGTTATGCAGTAGCAACAAAAATAATTTTATGGTTGGGGGTCACCACAACATGAGGAACTGTATTAAAGGGTCGCGGCATCAGGAAGGTTGAGAACCACTGTGCTAAAGCAAACAGATACATTGAGTTCAAGAATGGCCCTTGTACTCCGAGAGGCCCTGGGGCAGAAGGTGACACCTGGCAGCTGACAGCTCTGACACCGGGAAGGGCAGGGCGAAGGGTGAGGGGAAAGGCATGTCACACAGCCCAGCCCCAAGCCGAGGAGAGATGGCCACAGAGCTGATGGGAGCGGACAGCCCACTAGAGAAGGCCGACCCCAAACTTGGGTTCCAGTAAAGGAAATAAATGCAAAACAGGTTCCTACTTGAGGTGCACAGTGTCCTCGATGGGGACTTGGGCTGCGTGCGGACGGCAGGTGTCGAGGTGTTCGTCAGAACCCTGGGGGCGTACTGGGGCACCGTGGGCGGGTAGTAGGGAGCTGGATACACCACGTAGGCACTGGGGTCCACAGAGGGCCGCGGCGGGTACAGGTTTTCGGGCTGGTACCCATGGTTTTCGTAGTAAGGCCCAACACCTGGTGGTAATCCCTAAACAATAAAAAATAAGATGAACAATATGCAACCCTAATGACCCTAATTATACCAAAAGCCAAACTTACCTAGGAGTAAGGCTAACCAAGTTTTCAATTAATATTCATTTCTTTATTGAGGTACTAGAGGCCCGATGCACGAAATTCATGCGGGGGGGGGGTTGGTCCCTTACCCCAGCTTGTGCCCTCTCCAATCTGGGACCCCCTCGAGGGATGTCCGAATGCTGGTTTAGGCCCCATCCCTCTGACAGTCGGACATCCCTCTCACAACTGGGACCGCTGACTACTAACTGCTCGCCTGCCTGCCTGCCTGATCGCCCCTAACTGGCCCCTGCTGGCCTGGTTGCCCCCTAACTGGTCCCTTGCTGGCCTGGTCGCTCCCTAACTGCTCTCCTGCCGGCCTAATCACCCCTAACCACCTCTGCCTCAGCCCCCGGCGCCATGGCTTTGTCCGGAAGGAAGTCGGACATCTGGAAGATATTCGGTCGACCCGGTCTAATTAGCACATTACCCTTTTATTAGTATAGATAATTGACATGTAATATTATATTAGTTTCAGGGGTACAACATAATAATTTGATATTTGTACAAATTGTGAAAATGATTACCACAATAAGTCTAGTTAACTTCCATCACCATACATAGTTAAAAATTTTTTTTCTTATGAGAACTTTTAAGATGTATTTTTTTAAGAGCTTTCAAATGTGCAGTACAGTATCGTCACTACAGTTACTGTGCTGCACATTCCATTCCCGGGACTTTTTACTTTCTAACCGGAAGTTCATACTTTTTTGACCCCCTTCACCCATTTCACACATTCCCTTTTTAAGAAAAAGTGTGGCCCTAGCTGGTTTAGCTCAATGGGTAGAGCGTTGGCCTGTAGACTGAAGGGTCCCAGGTTCGATTCTGGCCAAGGGCACATGCCTGGGCTGCAGGTTCGATCCCCAGTAGGGCGCGTGCAGGAGGCAGCCGATCAATGATTCTCTCTCATCATTGATGTTTCTATCTCTCTCTCCCTCTCCTTTCCTCTCTAAGATCAATAATATATATATTTAAAAAAAAAGAAAAAAAAAGGAAGAGTGTGGAAGTCTGGGAATGAGTCAATACCATGAAAATGGGGTACAAAGTTACCAACTAGCGATACCAGAATTATAAATATACCCATTTTACAGAGTGACACGTGAGTGAGAGGTTACCAAATTTACCTATGCATGTTACTTGCAAATTCCTTTTGTATCTCCTCTTCTCTTATAAAAGTATATCACGTGTACTCACCATCTCTTATTAAAGGTCCTGTACCTGGTTTACAACTGGGGGCTGCTTAGTTCTGCCTAAATAAAAACTTCCTTATGCAGCACATGCATTTTGTGGAGAGTATGTGGAATTTCTGGGTCCAAAAGTGGAAGGTACGGCCCCAGCCATTGAATTTTATTCTCAGCTGCAGCCTTGGGCTGGTTTGTGTTCTTAGAAAGCCCTTCTTCTCTTTCTACTTAAAAATTGCCTCTCCAGGCCCAGCCAGGCAGCCAATCAATGATTCTCTCTCATCATTGATGCTTCTCTCCCTCTCCCTTCCTCTCTGAAATCAATAAAAATATATTTTTTAAAAATTGCCTCTCCAGGTCTACCCTTCAAGACACGCCCCCCCCCCTTCCCAAGCAGGCCACTCTAGACCCTGCCAGCCTTCGACCCTCAGACCCTCACCACGTCAGCACCTTCAGTCACCCGCTGGCTGGGAGGTCTCCAGGCCGCCTTTCTTCCCCTGGTTAATTTCTCCCCTCGGGTCTTGCTGATTGTGATCTCAGAGAGGACCCGTACTCTGAGCAGAGGCAACTCAACGCTTGGAATTTTAAACGGAGCCTTCAGGGACATGTGATTATGAAGAAGTGAGCCAAATGCAGGCTCCCAGCGTCCACCTTCCCTTAATAACTCACCAATGCTCTCCTTCTAAAGTCTAAAGAGTATAAGTCTAAACCAAGCAGCAGACAGAGAGAGAAAACGAGATGTAATCTCCCACCTAACCAGAGGTAAAACAAGCGGTATGTGTGTCCGGCCCTATCGGAGGCATCTGAGAACATGGCGTCCACCAGGAAAGGCTGCAGCAAGCACGGGCGTCCGTCCTGGCAGATTCCCATGCCGCGGACTTGGAATTTAAAATGGACCAGGAATATATACACCAGTAACAACTAAGGGCGGGGGAGCAACGGGTCTATTTTCCAGATACAGGACCTAGAAAACTGTTAGTAACCCCAACTCTTCACTGAAGAGTTATCCCAGGAATAAGGTGAACCTGTGAGATACGATGGCGCAGGAGGAAAGTGCATTCGCCTCCAGTGGGGGGTTCCAGGGAGAGAGAGCGCCAGCCCAGCGCCCCCGTCAGTGAGGACCTGTCCCAGTGTATCAGGGGCTAGGCTACACGACCGTCTGCTGGCCCATCTTACCCCTCTTAGCACCATCCTGCCCCCATCTGCACCCACACCACCCCTGTCCTGCCCCACTCCCACCCTTAAGGCAGGAAGAGAAGAGGCCAAGGTGAGAACCCTCCTCTCCCCACACCCACCCAACAGCTTCGGGACTCTCCTCTGAGCAGCTGCTGTGCGGCCACGCCCTGCCTCCCGCTCACCTGTGATGTACAGAAGGCCGTGGAGCACACACAGTCCCGACAAACAGCTCTTAATGTT